TCTTTTGTGTATCTGTGAATTTGTGATGGGAAGAAGAGTAGGCGCAGTGATGAAGAGTTTAGAAAATCTCGTTAATCTGATATTTTATCATGAGGATGAACACTCTCATCCATTCTAACAATTTCTGAGCGCCTTCGCTTCCTCCATTTCTTTGATTTTTCTTCCATTTATTCGGTTTTTGTTTCTAAAATCAATAACCTGAATCTGGGTCCGAATTTTAATTTTAATCTCGGTTCTCCCGCCGCCGGAATCTGAAATTGTTGATTTTGACAGACACTGATATTTGTTCATAAAATTGAAATTTTTGGACTTTTAAGCTGCCTCTAATCTACCCTCGATTTAAGAAAAGGGAGCTTCATAACCCAATGATAATGGTTCGAACAGAAAATTGCATCCATCGGGGAAGCTACCAAGCTCCAATGAACAGAGTCTTAAAAGGGTCTAAGAGCAGTGCTACGGGCACTCGCTTATTGCACCCTCCGGCCAACACTTCCCCTTTCATTGGGCCACGTAAGCTTCTTTAAAGCTTTCAGGCACAACCTGTCGGAAACCAAAATAACGTGGCCCAATCAAAGAGAAAGTGTTTGCCGGAGAGTGCAGGAGGCGAGTGCCCCTAGCATTGCTCATGGGTCTAAAGTTGGGTACTCTTACTATTTATTTTCTAAAAAGAGTCTAAAGATGGGGCCCTTCACTATTTATTTTCTCCGAAGGTTTGGATTTTACATAAGAAGGGCTGGTCCACTGCCGACGACCGACGAGGCTATAGTATCTTTTGCAGCACAATTTCGACACGCAAATATCTCTTGGCGGCTGCCACCGGACACCCCCACATAAAAAGGGTTCAAAATTGGATTTTTCAACCAAGATTGGCTTGTATAAGCTAGAAATTAGAGAAATCAAGATCACCCTTTTGTTCTTAGGAAGCGTAACCTATGGAGACAGTTGAGGAGGATCAAGAGTACAACTACAGGGAGGTGTTGCTCCCTTCTTTGATCCCTATTGTACCCCAACCGGAGTTGGAGAGGGAGACGGGAGAGAGGAGGAGAGGCCGAGACATATTGATAGCGGTTGATCATGGTCCCAACAGCAAGTATGCATTTGATTGGGCCCTTATTCACTTCTGCAGGATTGCTGATACCCTCCATCTTGTTAATGCTGTTTCCAGTATGTATATTTACT